TGAATTTAAAAACCCCAGTGGATCAAAGAAACGTCCTACGAATCTCAAGATTTCCCTTTTAGTTGGTATGTTATCTATCCTTTTGGCATCTTTTACCAAACTCTTCAATTTCTATCAAAAATGTATCATTTGACCTATTCCATATGTATCCCAATACTTTAGAACAAGTCGAATCGTGTGAAAAATCTTCTTCATTCCATACCCTTTGTAAATTCGTTTCATTTCGTTTTCCACTTCCGCATGTTAAATCCACCTTCTTTCAGTATGCGTTTAATATGTTCCGATTCCTCGAATGCTTCTGATTCTTCATCTGCTCCAGCGATTAAATCGTCAACATACATATTTTCAGTTAGCATGGAAAATACGTTCGGATACTGTAACTTGTATTTGTCAGCATGTACATTAAGAGTTGCTCTGAGAAGAAACGGACTAGATGTTGCTCCAAAAATTACCCTTGTCATACGAAGAGCCTTTATTTTGGTTCCATTTAATTCACCATCGTTCCATAGAAACTTGACTGCGTTTCTGTCTTCATCAGCAAGAGAAATCTGCAAGAATGCTTGTTCGATGTCAGCTGTAAACGCAATTCGATTTTGACGGAACTTAAGGAGCAATTCCAGTATGTCTGGACACATCTTAGGACCTGAATGTAAACAGTCATTTAATGACAAACAAATCTCCGCATGTGACGAAGCGTCAAAAACCACACGGAGTTTTGTAGTTTCCTTGTTTTCTCTTATAACGGCTTGATGCGGCATAAAATACGTTTTTGGGCCAATTTCAGTGTTAGTCTCTTCGGCGATTCCTTCTTTTAAGTACCTATCAATTACTTCGCGATATCTGTCATAGAACTGTTGATTATTTTGAAATCTACGACTTAAACTCTTAAATCTAATTTTAGCAATCTCCAGATTATCTCCTAGCTCATTTGAATTATGATTCCAAGGAAGGCGCACAATATAACGATTGTTTTCAAATTTCACAGATCTTTTGAAATTATCGAAAACTAAATTATCTTCTAATTCGAGTTCCTTATCCATATCATAATTTATCCCCATAGATTCGAGCTCCCAGAGATTCTTCAGCAAACTAGAAAGTGATTCGTTCTGTGTATCTTTATTATTATGAACCACAACCTTCATAGTATTCACATTACTTGGTGAAATTCCGTAAGCCCTTTCTGTTCCACTAATGGTCCAACCCAATTTTTTTCAACCGCTACTAAGGAATTAGACAGTCTGTGAACCTTACCCGTAACTATTTTCCAATAAAAATCCGCTCCTATCAGCAAAGAAATTTTCGGCGGTTTATTCCCTTGTCCCCATTCATCGGAAAGTTGTATGCCATGTTTTTTTAATAAGATCAACTATTTCATTTCTAGAGGAAAGAATATGTGATCCATTAATGACAGGAATAATTAAAGCTTCTATTTTGATTTCATATCGATTCTTCGAATTACGCAAAATGAGCCTGGTTTTTTTAACATTCTGCGCTTCAGACGTCGTGCAGCCGAAAGAGAATATTTTTATTTTTTCTTCTCCAATAACGGGAAGTTTTAATTTCTTACAGATCTAATAAACGATCGCCTGCGATCCTAAATCAAACAACAAGCGAACGCTTTGCTGGCGCCAATTGCCTGTGTTTATAATTTCAGCTCGTGCTGTCAGAAGAAATGAGTTATTTGCTGTTGCGCAATCGGAAACAGAAGAGACTACTGCCCTTTGGACGGGACTCTTGTCTGACGCATTCGTTTCGTCATTCGAGTGTATCAATGTATGATGTCGCCGATCGCAAATACCACAAGTTAGTTTCGATTTGCACATCCTCGCTAAATGGTATCCTTTGAGGCACCTGAAACAAAATCCCCTTCGCCTTAACGCTTCCCTTTTTTCTGGCACAGTTTTTTGACATGATTCTGACGTATGATTTTCAGAACAGAATAAACAGCTATTAGATAGTGATGTGTTTAACGCTGCCGCTGAAGGAATTCTACCCTTATTATAATCCCGATTTCTTTCGCTGTCTCGAAAACGTTCTCCAAACTGCCGCTTATTTTCCAAATGGGATTTCTTTTCAGTGACTTCAGAATCTGTTGGCTTAATTAAAAATCCTGTACGTTCTCGACTTTCTATTTCTTTTCTTAGAAAATGGAGCAAATTCGTAATTTTTGTCTGATTATCATCTTCATATTTCCTATTAAATTCTAGTGCTAAATCATTCGGAATCACCTTTATTAATATCGGATACAATAAGGTACTGTACGAATCCGGTAAAATATTACACGATTCTAATCCTCTAATTTGTACTTCACAACGATCATATAATTTTCGAAGTGCTGTCACATCGCCAGACCTTTTAACCGGAGTCAGAGTTAATAAATTGTTCATATGGGTATCTATTATTAGTTCTTTGCGTCCGAAGCGATCTTTTAATATTTTCACAGCCTTTCTCGTAATTCTCCGCTGTTAATGTCAACCCTTGTATTGCAGTTTCTGCATCGGAAGTAAGAATTGACTTTAAATAGTTAAATTTATCTACGGCATGTAGACTTTCGTTTTCGTGTACAGCTGTCTCAAATCGTGCCCAAAACCCGGGCCAACTGCACACGTCCTTTCCCGAAAATGTTTCCAGGTGCCAATTTGGGGAGTTTAAATTTTGTTCTGCGATTCAGTGACATTTCCGTATGAAATAGAATTAGCTCTATGTGGATTAGTATCTAAATATCTTTTCGCGCGTAATTTCCAAATAATAATTTTACTTTTATACTCTTCTCTAGACATTATTTCATCTTCTAAATTTGCTACATCAATTAAAGTTTCAATACCATTATCCGCTAAGATTAGTTGTTCTTCTTTACTAATTAACTGAGCAAACGTTTCTTCAATTACATTTTTATCCCCCTCATTAGCAATTTCTGTTTCTATTTTATTTATTAGCCTCGTAAATACTGCTCTTATGACAGATCGTTTCTTTTTTAATTTTCCTAAATCCATGTTTTTGCTTAAGCAAAACTATTAAATTTCAGTTCAAATTCAACCCAATGGCCCCACGTTGGGCGCCACAATATTATTATTTTATATTCTTTATCTTACTTCTAACTAATTAATCAAGGTAAAACAAAACTGCTTACCTTGTTCCAATGGCTTCGGCCAGGGCCAGTAGGCTGAAGTTCCTCTGTGCTGTGCTTCTGCAAAATCTTGAGAGGGATAATCCATAAATGATAAACTTTCTTAACACAAATATATTTAATGAAGACGTTAACGGTTACATAATTTTTACATAATGAAAGGTTTAAATATTCGCACAACGCAGCGTGCGACTTCTCAGTCCCGAGTTCTCGTGATCTCTAGCGAGAGTTCATAGTTCGAGATGACGTCACTCAGCCATCGGATCTCAGCAAGAGTTGAGTTGCAACACAGCAACGCTGTTTTCAGTTCCTCATTTGCATATCATGCAATTTAATCCCTTTTACTTGAGCTAATTTAAAGGTGAAAGGTAGGAGTACCGTTGATGCCGCCGCCGGTGTCAGTACTTGTAGTGCTCACTGGAGTCACAATTTCCATGAGGACTCGAGGAAATGATGCCAGAATGTTGTTAGTTTTCTAGTTAGTGTGTGGGGCTAATACCTGCTTACTTAGGGTAAATATTAGGTGGCTCCCTCACTTCTACATAACATAACATACCTTGCAACAGTCACAGAGCCTCTGTCAAAGACGTGGAGGGATGTGCGGCCATCCAATATGATGCCTGCGCAGACCATTGCACGACCACCGCCATAATTGTTAATTTCGCGGACATTGGAGGGTAGGTAGTAATATGGGTTCCTGAGCTCCTCCATATGAAAGTACGAGCGAGAATCGATGTTTAGGCTAAAACGGGACATGTCGTGAACAGGTGATCAGAGCGATCGCCCATTGCTCCGTACTCCAATCACTATGCTGCCTGCACCATGCTAATCGGTCTCTCCTGTTCGTAGACGTGAGCGGGACGCGAACACCCGGTCTTCGGGCAAACAACCCTCTCTCATTCGGTCTTTTGGAGACAGTCACCCTTGTTGCACGGGTTCCAGTGGCTGCATACAGGTCCCGACAGAGCTGAGAAGCTGTAGCCTCTTTGTTACGCCTCGCTAAAATGGACAAATAGCGATCTTCTCTGGCCGTCGTGGCTCTTGGACGACCTTGCTCAGACTTTCTCTCAATGGATCGAGTATCCTGGAACTGTTTCCATACCTTACACACGACGCTAGGCTTTAAATTACACTCTTTTCATATCTGGACTTGCCATTGGCCTGCCTCTAGCCCCCCCCCCACAATTTGCCACCTCACTCCATCATCTAAACGTTGGTGGCTACTCATTTTTACTTGTCCGAGGTGAATTTAACAAATTGCTGCAAGATAACACCAAGAAATTCGGGGAGGTGTGTTAGCAAAAGCAATTCGTCTTATCCTCCACGCGCTTATAGAGCCTGTTTTTATACTGGTTCCGCCTACACACACGTGTACGCTTACGTATTTACCGTACAAGATTTACACTTTTATCTAGTAGCAGGGTTTTTTTCCTTCAGTTCAGTTCTTTTCATGCAATTCGATAAAATATGGTAATTCTCTTAATTTAATTCACAGTGTATTTTCTATGTTTTCGTATACAGAATCATAGGACTTCGGTAATTCGATAGCAACATAAACTGCCATCACACTAAGTAGCGTCTATGATATGAATCTTCACTATGTTTCTGAGATAACGTGGTGGTACTTCGTGTGGTGTGTAGAATATTTTCTTTTAGAATCCGCCATCACCATTCAGTTATTTGAGTGAGTAAAATCTGCATCTAATAAAATTAGGCGCTATCTAGAATATAAATAACTGACTAAAATCGATAGATCGCATATTACATCATTACCATTAAATGGATTAGAAATAACTGACATTTGTTAAGAGATATTCTGAATGATGTAAGTATATTATTTTATGATTTTAAATCTTTTTTTTTTTATTTGCAGATATTTTTGGGAGGCAGCATCTGCAGTGATGGAAAAGTTGAAGTTGTGGAAGATAGTGAATTGAAGGTACTTTAGATTTCTTTACTCTTTCATATTGTACTTTGATTCCTTTTCTTTCAATATACATCCAAACCGAAATCAGATACATTAAAAGCTAGCAGAAATTTTCATGTGTAATGAATATAGAAGGTTACGAAATTTTCCGGCCGTAACGCTGAGAGGGTTAATGGTTCTTACTGTTTCCTCATTTAAATTAAAAAATTTTGCATCGTCAGATGTCTACCTGCATGAGAACTTTGATGGTTATGTCCCATTTGAGACTTTTTTAAATATCGTGCCATTTAAGCTTTTTTATTCAGGGTCAGTGTCAAATCCGAAAGCACATTAGAAGGTCACGTGACTGAGAAATATGTTAAAAGTTTGTGTCTTTAGCCGTTAAATTTGGTTTAGGCACTGCTACACCATTAACAGCATTGGTAACTACACCTAATACATTTATTTGCCTAAAGTTTCGTTAATCACTAAAACCTTGAATCATTTTTCAAATTCTTGCCACCAAATATTATCGCCTTGTATTATATTTAAAGAAGTGAGGTAATGATTCTCGCATTGTCAAAAAGCAACAGTAACTGGAGCCATCAAATTTTGAATAACGTAGTCCTGCACCCGAACATGCACACCTGAAAGCCTGAATTTTGAATTTCGAATTTTTCTATTATCTATTTCATATTTTGTAAAACTTTAACGAAATTTTGATTAAACAAACTCAACGATTTTAAAGCGAGCAGTGGCAACATAATATGCAATAAAAAATTTTTATCAAGGAGGTTAGAATAAATGGTGTGAGCCTTTTCCGTATGCTCGTGCAAAGAAAATGCAGCCATGACACGCCACGGTATGACGTCACGACTTATCATGGCCGCTGCCATAGGTTTTGGTTGGTTTTGTTTACATTCTAATTGGTATTATCGCTATGTTAGCTATAAATCTTTTAAAATTTATAAGTCTCCAGTTTTAATTTATTACTTAACATATCTAATTTTCTACTTAGTATATAGAAAACCCAAAGATTGCAACTATTTCAAATTTAAGGAGGGGGATCGTAACCCTCCTATACCGACAATGTTAAATTGTTCATTTTCGATGTACCTTTTCTCAAAATCTCTTCTAGACACACATTTGAAATTTTTTTGTGTATTTAAAGTACACCTAAGCTATGTAAGCCTGTTTTCTTTTCCTATTTGTTTTATTAAACAATTCTTATTTTATATTTATATTTTACTGAAATTAGCTTTTGGAACATTCTGAATTTTAGCATAATTTATAGAATATTGTGTTAGGCATAGTAAAATCTAGCACTTTTCTCACCCCCCCCCCCAAAAAAAGTGAAAATGTTTTTCTTAGTTTATCACACAAAGCTCATTTCAGTATATATTAGGAAACATAATAAATAAGCCATAAACATTTTACCTACCTGTGAGCAGTAGTTCCTGACATAAAGTACATCAATTAAAAAAAAACACATTCATTAAAGAGTGGTATTTTTAGAAAGATAAAAGTATGGAGAATTTGAAAATGCAAAAATCATAAATCACCATTTTTGAAGATTTTTTGGCTTTCAACACCCCTTCATAAAATCTAAGTACATGAAAAAATGTGTAAATGGTAACTATAAGACAAATGTGTACAGGTAAGATCTGGAAGGTCTGCCTTAATTTCAATACTATTTTATACAAATAATGCGTAAAGACACTTTTCTGAGCCTGCGAACATTGATATTTGCTTTCAGTGTAATTTTTTTAACAATATATTTCGAAGTCGTATCCATACCCTGTATGACAGCCATGATAAGTTGTGACGTCACCTGGTTGACATTTTCTTGCCTTTGCTTTTGTGACATCATACTTTATGACGTCAATCTGTTATGGACCTTAAAGGTCCATGGTTCTAATTTCCTTGATTTTTATATCTAGCGTTCGAGACTGTCTATCGGAAATTCTAAAGATATGCTGTATTTAAATATTTTTAGCCCAAAGGTATGTGTGTGTAAATAAAAAAAAAGCCTGTTTTCTTTTTCTATTTGTTTTATTAAATAATTCTTATTTTATATTTATACTAACTTATCTATTGCCAAATGGTATAGTATATTGCCAGACGGTATAGAATATTTTGTCCCATATTTGCATTCTAGAAATCTCAAAATGTAATTTCTTTTTTTAAGGAACAACCTAAAAGGCCAACTGTAAGAGGTGTACCAGTTCGAGGAGGCCCTCAGATGTTGCAGCTAAGTCTGGATGGTAAACGACTATACGTAACTAATTCATTGTTTCAGGCTTGGGATGCTCAGTTTTATCCAGAGAATATTGAGTAAGTTTGTGAGAATTTTTGACACATATTGATATAATTAAGACACAATAGCACGCCGAACAAATACTAATTCAGAACTCAAACAATAAAAATCAGCGTTATATTTTCAAATTTTCGCAGCATTGGATTCGATGGTTTTACCGAACCACCATCCTCAGCTGCAAAAGCGCAAATGAAGGAGACAGGAAACCATGATTAGAAGAAGTAAGAAAGCCTGGACAAAAAATAAGCTAGTGGCGCCATCTGTTGATGAAACCAGAACTAAAACATAATTTCTTTAAAGGCCGAAGGCAAAGATGGATTGGAATTAGGATCGTTAACTAGAACAGAAATATTTTTTTGAATGTGAAATTCCTCTAGAAAATCCAGTTCTCCAATGGAAGATGTTTTTTCAATAATTTTGGCAGCAAAAAAATTGAAAGCGTGATTTTCGGACCAACAATGTTGGGCAACAAAAGACCTCTGTGTTTCCTTTTTTCTAATGTATGCCTCATGTTCCTCGACGCGAAATTTTAAGGCTCTCTTAGTTTGGCCAATATAAATTAAACCACACTGGCAAGGAATCCTATAAATACCCCAGGAATTTCTTTCTTATCTAATCATTATATCCTATCTCGTTCACTTGCGCTTTTGCAGCTGAGGATGGTGGTTGGGTAAAACCATCGAAACTAGTCCTGTGAAAGTTTGAAAATATAACCCTGATTTTTGTTGTTTGACTTCTGAATTAGCAAATTGATATATTAGCGATTCAGAATTCTGTTCACTTTTTAATCGATTCAGAATAAAATTTTCAATTCAAAGCTAAGGTATCCATAATTTATTATCATGTTTATAATTTTTTATACCATATAACCATTAATATAATTATCATAATATTATTAATATTGTATAATTATTGGCATAGTATTATCATTTATATAATTATCATTAATAACATGATTTTATTAATTATCTGATCTTGTTACATATTAATGAGCAAAATTTATGTTATAATATAGAAATAATATTTCAATTTTTATTATATGCTATTTAATGAGAAAATGTTTTTGAAAATAGGCTTTAGGCCTTAAGTTTTTATCCATTTAAAATTAAGTTATGACAGCATATTAAGCCTAACGTGTTATGGGTGAAGTATGATGAAGAATGGATGAAGCTATGCGTGAAGAACATAAACTTTTCTCTTTCAATAAACAGCAACATCTGCCTTTTACCTCATAATTTACAAAATCTTAAATAATTTTATACATGTAAATAAAAATATGTGTCTACATTATTTCAGAATACTACGTAAAATATGTGTACTCTTTTTTTAAAGAAGAAAAATATGATGTGTAACACCACATGACTTCCTATCACGGAATATTAAAATATACGCATTTTTTCTTGCATTTCATTTAAACCTATTGGACTGAATTAAATCTACGTCGATAGCGCATAAACCACAAGAGAATAAATGCACTCTTTAAAATTCACTCTATTCCTTTACCACAGCCACACTCTGGCGCTAGCTTCATTTAATAACGTTACATTTCGTTCATATTATAAATCAGAATGCATAAAAATTTATATCATTTGAAGAATTATCGAATCGTTGCCACATGTTCTATTCAAATACATAAATAAATAAATCTAAAACGTTGAAAAAACTGAAAGACATTAAAAGAAAACAAGACAAACAAACAAAAAAACGTTTTTTTCAGTTTCATTTTTATTAATAATTAATTCACTTCCGACGACAAGGCAAAAAAACATAAAAACTAAAAATATCTGTATTAAAAATAACGAAGTAAATCTTAAATACTTATTTCCTCGAATAGATTCCCGAATGGATTAAACATGATTTAATTCGCAATAATAAAAGAAGGCGTTATCTTTGTTGTTGCGAAGCTTAGTTTCTCTAGATTGGCAACACATCCGCTATTTTGCCAAGTTAAAATATAAACAAACATGTCCTCTGTCGCAAAATTCATTAGGATTAGCTGCACTTAAACCACTTTTAAATTGTTCATAAATCCACAAATATTGCATGCCGATTTACTAAAGGCATAAAATCCTTAACCGGAAGCTAAGAACAACATAATTCAATCATTTTTAAAGCAAAAAATGAACAACTTACAAACATATAAGCGTAAAGAAAATGAGATCACTGAGCCGATTAACAGATTGGATATATATATATATATATATATATATACATATATTTATATACGTTTGGTGCGGCCGATTGCAAATACGAGGTGCACATTGACATGTTATAGCAGTCCTAAATACAAAATTTCAACGTTCTGAGGCTACTCGTTTTTGAGTTGTGCGAGATACGTACGTACAGATACCACGGAAAATTCTCTTCAGAATAAATTTTAAATCAGTTTCATATTTTTTTTTGGGGGGGGAAGAGTCTTTTATTCTGTCCTTACGTAGAGGTGTCATGCAAAAACACCGTTAAATTGCATTAAAAATGGGTATTTTCATTGAAATATGATGCCTGAAAATTTTCGCGATTACAGTACTTTCTTTTTCTTCGTACAAGAAAGTAAAAATGAACTATTATTTCAGTATCAATTTCTTCATACTTACGCCACATAAAATTCAATAACAAAATCATAAAATATTTAAAAATAGCGTATCTTAAGAATTCTTGATAGAGTGTTAAATACTTTTTAATATTCTTTATAATATTTCTTTAAAAATTATACATGGCGATAACAGTTGGTGGCAACATCCTTTTATTTGAAAAGTAACGCGGACAAAGAAAGGTACTTAACATCTTATCGTCTTATCGTAACCATCTAAGAGGAAGTCTCAAAAATTTCAAAATGTGCCAAACTCTGCCAACCATGCGCATCACACTTCTTCAAGTAATCATGCATATAACTGTGCTTCAAGCAACGTCGCCATTTTTAGTATGTGTTGTTTTGCTACATTTTAAAATCCAGCTGTTTTAATAAACAGATTGTGATTCTTTTTCCCTTAAACTTAATTTTAAAATATGCGCTTGTGAAATTTGTCAGCAATGAAAGAAACTGCGGTAAAATTTCTGCAGGAATAAATAATTTTGTCGCAAAATATCTAAAGAGAACAAGAGGAGACATGTTTGTTAGATTGTCGGTGCTGCCGAAGTTTGCGCGATGCCGAGTCTGTGCATTTCTCTGATTATTATTTTGTTTTGTTTTGTTTTTTGAAGTGAAAATAGATCGGTGTGTACTTACAGAAATTACAGAAAGATTTTGTGAAGAATAAGTATTTTACTTTTTAATGTATCACGTAATACTTATTTAATAATAATAGTAATTAAAATTTCTGTTTTAAATTCATATACTTATAATGCCTGCAGACTTAGGTAAATATCGATACCTTGGGAATCTTCCTAAAAAATTTCGGAAAACCACCAACTTGCACTCAATAAGTAATTTTTGTCTTTTCATCTTATAAGATATTTCTCCCACTTTCTTGACGTGCCTTCGTGGTGAGGTGGTTTGCAGGTTTGGCGCGTATTTCAGAGGTCCGTGGCTCGATTCCCGGCGAATACGGTTGCTCATTTTTAATCTCTCCGACTTTTCCAATTAATTTAATGTCTCTACAGTGGCGCCCGAACTGAAAGCTTATTGGATGATGATTCTCCTCACCCGGGATTTGGCGATTGGGTTCCCTAAAATCCCCAGTCGCCCTTTAAAAGGGGGTATATAAGTTTTTTCTCCCACCTTCTTGGCGTGCCTTCGTGGTGTGGTGGTTTGCACGCCGGGCGCGTATTCCAGAAGTCAATGGTTCGATTTCCGTTTAAGGTGGCCGCTCATTTTTCATCTCTCCGGCTTTTCCAGTTAACCTAATTTGGAAATCTTAAAAAAATTTCCGAATTGTGCCAAGGTGGTTGCGTTAATACGTAAGTACTCAAAAATGTGAGGATCGAGACTAATTGTGAATGACTATTAGTAATTAATTTTAAGTGGCGTTTGAATTATTCTTATTGAATTATAGTTTGCTTCTTTGATAAAGTATATTTTTATATTTCAGAAAGGGTTCGATGATGCTTTTGGTGCATGTAAACAGGGAACATGGAGGGCTGAAGCTTGATGAAGATTTTCTGATAGACTTTGGTACTGAAGGTTCTTACTTAGCGCACGAAATGAGATTTCCTGGTGGGGACTGTACATCTGACATTTGGGAATAACTGCAATTTGGTCTGCATGAAGCAAGCCTTGTCAGCTGCAGTACTGAGCAACGGCACTTTTGCTTAATATTGATTGAAATTTTTAGTGTACTTTTCTGTCTTGATTCGTTTGTTTGACTGTTCAATTGTGTTTGTAAAAGATTTTTTTTTGTAAACCTTTAATGCTTCAACCTTGCAATAATTTCTCTAGGAAATAAATTCAATGAAATTTCAAAAATAGTTTTTGTGTCATGCTTGATTTTAGAAATGGAAGAAAATAAATGCAGCCTATGTTATAAAAAAGTAATAATAATAAAAAAAATAAGCTCCACGCACTTAGAAAAATCATTATACTGCTCATAAGACAATGATGATATGATGAGTAAAACTGAATAGCAGTTTTCTATTGAGAATCAGAATAAAATCATAATAAAATAAATTATTATGAATGTTTAACCTTCTAAGTACAACATAGTTTTTTTTTTTTTTTTTGGTTAATTGCGGATTTAAAATGGCCTTTTGGCTTTTCGAGGTAACTAAAATCATTAACAGTCGTTGTTGTAGATTTTAATGACAGAATTATTTATTTATTCCTGGCTTTCATGAAAATTTTGGCTAGGTGATAATAATGGACTCTTAATTGGACAGTTTTATTTCCTCGTTAATTATGTTGTTCCTTATGTACTGGGGATAATTAGTTATTTGCCTCAGTAAATTATTCTGGGCAGTTTGCAATTTCTCCGTATTGGTTCTGTTTGAGTAAGGTCAGACAAAGTAGGCATAACGCAGCATGAGAAGCAAAATATATTTATAAATAAGTAACTTGTTATCAATGGGCAGAACGCTGTTTTGCGCAAATAAGAGCTAGAGCAGGGGTATCCAACGCGGTCAATGAAATTTTATCAATGATCGATGATAATCGATCGCCGAATATACACCAACAGTTGATTGTCTTGATCAAGATTACAAAAAAATACTTGTAAATAAAATTGATAATTAATTATTTATTGATATAAAGCTATAGAGGTTAGGTTATTTGAATATAGCAAAGCCACGGTATCTATCTGCCTAAAAAGAGGGATGCTTTCGTGGAGGACTTTCTGAGGGAAACTAGCTCATATTCACGTTACACATGTGGAAAAACATGAAAGAAAATCATGCAGGCAAGCCTGTTCGCCTGGATCGAATAAAAGCGAGGTGGAAATACCAGTGTTTAGTGTTCTTAACCATTCCACCACTGGTGTGGCATGAAGCTATAAAACGTAATAAGTAAGAAAGCATGTATAAAATAAATATAACGGAAAATATACACTTTGATATATCTCATCTTGATATTATGATGCTAAGAGATTTGATAACATTGAAGGAGATGGTCAGCTACAAATCTAATGCAAAACAAATAAGTTAGTTTAGTTTTGAAATTTAAAAGTTATAAGAAATAGATATCCCAAAATAAAAGTTGTTACCGAAACAAAATTTATTGACTCTTCTTCAGTAGACAAAGAAATATTTAATTTTTCTTTCAAATTTAATCTTTTACGGATGAACAAATTAAATGACTTCAAAATTATATTATGGTCAAATTAAATGACCATAATATATACTATATTGGATTATTTATTATGGTCAAATTAAATGACCTTGAGCAATAAATGGAGTTCTTTATCATTATTAATTCCTAACTTATTAAAATGTCTAATGTTTAAAATTAAATATCTAAAAATTAAAAATATAAAATGTCTAAAATTAAATATGTCTTTTTTTTGTTGTAACAACAACTATTTCAAGGGGTCTAGAAAGTCATTATAAATAAAGACACTATATTACAAATAGCATTAAAGAACAATAATAATATCATGGAGTTCAACCTCGTGTTGTGTAATTCCTTTAGATGTTCTTTGCTCTTTTATGTTGAAGATAAAAGCAATAAATCCAGATTTCAAAATTCTAAAATTAATTTCTGTCAAATTGAAATGAATTTCTAAAATAAAAATCATTTCAAATTTTGCTATGCATTTGACGTGTATGACGGAACGCCTTCGTTACACTGCCGTTTTTTAATTTTAAGCATTTTCCCATAAAAATATTTTGACCTATCTAATTACTGACGAGAAATATTTATTTTTCCTATCTCAGTACTGTAACGCACTTTAATACAATCCTTTGAATGGTCTAAGTAATTTCTGTCATCTTATTCCTAATCATTTTCTTTTATAGTGTTCAGCTCTGTCACTAGATGGCAGCACGAAACAATTTTTCGTGTCTAGCTCAATAACAAATGATGAAAAGAACGTAACAAAATATTATTAAAAATCTGAAAGGTTTCAGATTTTAAATTACGTCCAAAGGGGAATTTTTTTTAACAATTTGTGTGTTACCTTTATTTATTAAAAATCATGTTCTACGTACTCAAACCATACAATTCAGTTCAACAGCAATATCGCAAAATAACTTTAAAATGAGCATATCTTTAGAATTTCCGATACAGAGTCTCACGCATCGGAGATAAAAAATGTTTTTATCTTTTTTTTTTTTTTTTTTTTTGTACAGTGCTGCCATTGTTCGTTTTGAAATCGTTGAGTTTTTAATTACAAATTTGTTAAAATGTCACAAAATATGAAATAGATAATAAAACAAATTCCAAATTTGGGCTTCCAAATGCCCATATTTGAGCGGAAACGTACGTTATTCAAAATTAGATGGCTCTAGGTATCATTATTTTATCCCAATGCGAGAGACATACATTACATTCATGCAGATTCTTCATTATTTAATTTCTTTAAATATAATACAGAGTAATAATATTGTGGCAACGATTTGAAAAGTGATTCGCCGTTTATAGTTTTCAACACAAAATGCCAAAACGAAATTAACTCGAGGATTTTAAGACCAGCAATGGCAACGTTGTACCGAAAACACATATTTATATCCAGCGCGTGAGACTGTGTATCGCAAGTTCTAAAGACATGCTAAATTTAAAATTATTTTGCGATATTCTTCTTAAACTGAATTTTATGATTTAAGTGCGAAGACCATGATATTTAATAAGTAAAGGTAACACACAAAACGTTAAAAAAAGGCCTCTTCGGACGTAATTTAAAATCTGAAACTTTTCAGATTTTTTTTAATGTTGCACTCATAAAAAGCATTTAAAATGTGATGACCGTTCCTCAATTGCAGCAAATATTGTTCTTTTCATTTAGATCATAGTTGCTTGAGGAGCCTAGACTGATAGTGTTTCGTTAAATTTTCATGAAATATGAATAGACAATAAAACAAATTCCTAATTCGGGCTTCCAGGTGCCCGTGTTCTTGTGGAGGACTAATTTATTCAAAATTTGATCGCTCTATTTACCGTTGTTTTTCACAATGCGATAAACATACATACATTCATGCAGATTCTTCATTAATTAATTACTTTAAATATAATACAGGGTGATAATATTTGGTGGCAAAAATTGAAACGTGAAACGACATTTATGGTGAAGCAACGCAAAGTGCGAAAACGAAATTAATGGTCCTTCAAGGCATATTGCCCCTTTGGACTAAGAAGAAAAGATGTTAAATAAATCTGAAAGCCTCCAGATTTTATATTATGTCCAAAAGAGCTTTGTTTTGAACGTTTCATGTATTACCTTTATTTATTAAATATCATGTTCTTAGCACTTAAACTATAAAATTCAGTTCAACAGCAAAATCACAAAATATTTTAAAAGAGTGTATCTTTAGAATTTCCGAGATACTGTCTCGTGCGCTTAATTTTTTTTTGGGGGGGGAGGGGTACAGTGTTGCTACTGCTCGCGTTCAAATCGTTGAGTTTCTTAATCAAGAACTCATAAATGGTTTACAATTTCTAGCCTGCGCGCTGGAGGTACAGTGCTGCCACTGCTCAGTTTGAAATCTTTGAGATTTTAATCAAATATTCGTTAAAGATAACTAAATGTGAAATAGGTAATAAATAAAGATTACTAAATATGAAATACGTAATAAAACAAATTCCAAATTCCAGATTTGGACTTCCAGATTCGCAGGAGGATTACGTTATTCAAAACTTGATGGCTCTAGGTACCGTTGTTTTTATCACTATGCGAGAAACATACATATATTTATGCAGATTCTTCATTAATTAATTTCTTTAAAATATAATATAGGGCCATACTATTTGGTGGCAACAGTTTGAAAAGTAACACGTTTAGTGATTCGACGCAAAATGTCGTTTCAAGACTAACGCCTCTTTGTTTAATTTGGCAATAAACTAAATGTAAGTTTTAGTAAGTTTTAGTTTATTTTGTCAATAAACTAAAATTCCACGTTTAGTTTGGCAATTAACTAAATGTAGAATTCTTTTTGCAGTTTTGGTTCTTGTTGATTTACACTTTTTAATCGATGAAAAACTAAGTAAATTCGAAGTAGAATTTCCTTTTCTCCTCTTTTTAAAAATAGGAATGAGAGCTACTAAAGATCCTCCTACGTAATTATAATGTATAAATGAACGTATAATCAGACTGTTCAGAATAATTTTCCATGGATAAAAGTGCTCTCATTTCAGATTTCGATGTTAAAGTTTAGATTTTCCTTGTAAAGGAAAGCTAGAATTCTAAGGAATTGTATCATAATTTTGGATCACTAGGTAAGAACTGAAAAAATTGAACTAAAATATTCATTATATGGGTATGAAGTTAATTTAGCGGTAACAGAAGCCTTTGATATCAATGTAAGCTATTGAATTTAGACGTGATTTGTTTCTAAACCAGATACGAACATGAGAGAAACGATATTTAGATGTCGTCAAAAACCAACTTAACAATATTTTACCTTAAGGATAACGAAGTACCATCAATGTAGTCGTTACAGAAAGGAAATTTCTATTTTAGTTTGCTGTCTTCTTTCCTTTTCCATCTACAAACCAAATGGGACGCCCAATCATTCGCAAACAGTGCAGGTGTTCTGATAATCCAAGCACGAATTTACGAAGGACAAAATGGGAAGCAATTCTGTGTTACTCCTAAAGAAAACTATCTACGCAAGTTCATCTTGTTACTATTCGTAAACAGATTTCTGTGATTAGAACACAGTTAACATTATTGTTATTCATAGACGACTGGCTAGTTTGTTGAAAAAGGAAAAAAATGAGTAAAAATTTATTCTTAGAAATGTTTTGGTTAGATTATTTGGCAGCGTTTGAACGTTTAACACGAAACTCACTCTTTTCTAGTATTTTTGAATTCCTTGTACGAAGT